CCGCTGCGCTTTTCTTTTCGGTCAGTAGCAGCAGCAGTTGTTGCTGCTGTTGCTGTGTCTCCTGCTGCTGTGTCTCCTGCTGCTGCTGCTGCAACTTGTCCCTCTCTGTCTCCTCCCTGCAGCGAGGCGTTCATATATTTCGATGTCGCTGCAGCAGCATCCGCAGCTGCTGCTGCGTCTTCAGCTTGCGTCCCCTCCACGCCATTTCCCTGCTGCTGCTGCTGCTGCTGCTGCTGCTGCTGCTGTTGCTGCTGCTGCTGCTGCTGGTGTCTTGCTTGTTCTTCTTCAAATGTCTTTAAACTCAACTCCATCGCTCGCTGCAGCTCTGCCCATTCATCTTGAGGGCCTTCGTCGTACGCACTGCCGTTCTCAAATAGCTGCTGCTGCTGCTGCTGCTGCTGCTGCTGCGACGGTCTATTCCCTGCTGAGCGTCGCCCCCCGCTGTTCCGAGCCCTTAAGTTGCTGCTGCTGCTGCTGCTGCTGTTTCTTTTTCTGTCTCCTGTTTGTCTCTGCTGCTCACCACCCCTCTCAGCTCTACTTGAAGAAGCCCCAGCAGACACTGAGGCTGCAGCCCCTTCCTGCTGCTGCTGCTGCTGCTGATGATGATGATGTCTCTTCTCGGGGGACTCCCGTTGCGAGCTGCTGCAGCGCAAACGTTTCCTGCGGGTTGGTGCAGCAGCAGCAGCAGTTGCTGCTGCTGCTGCTGGTGGTGGTGAGTGGGTTAGAGTAGCAGTTGAACAAACACCTTCATCGTCGCTGCTGTCGTACTCTCCCGCTGCTGCTGCTGTTGCTGCTGTTGCTGCTGTTGCTGCTGCTGCTGCGGTATCTGGGCTGCTGTCTCCACCCTCATTAAACTTGCAGCTGCGGGGCTTCAATATATCTGAGGGGTCTTCCGCTTCGTCATAAGAGACAGCAACAGCCACAGGCCACTGCTGCTGCTGCTGCTGCTGCTGTTGCTGCTGCTGCTGCTGCCGCTCAGGCTGCTGCAGCAGCGTTGCTTCTTGTTGCTGCTTGTCTTCAGGAGAAGCTCTTTTCACAGAGATACCATCTGATGAACAGACAGAAGACTCGCCGTTCATATCTCCTAAAGGACTCCACTCTAGCTGCTGCTGCTGCTGCTGCAGCTGCTGTTGCTGCTGCTGCTGTTGGTGCTGCTCTTCTGCCTCCAGCCTTCTGCTGCGGCGGGCCCGCTGGAGATGCATCTCTAAGTGCACGAACCTCCTGCTGCTGCTGCTGCTGCTGCTGCTTCTGGTGGAGCTGCTGCTGCTACCGCGCTTGGAGCCCTTCCCACCTTGAGGAGCATCAGTTGCAGTTGCTGCTGCTGCAGTTGCTGCTGCTGCAGTTGCTGCTGCTGCAGTTGCTGCTGCTGCAGTTGCTTCTGCTGCAGTTGCTGTTGCTGCAGTTGCTGTTGCTGCAGTTGCTGCTGCTGGTGCTGCAGGGCTCGGTTCTGGTGCTCCTGTTGATGTTGCTGCTTCTGTTCCTGCTTCTGCTGCTGCTGCTGTTCCTGTTTCTTCTGCTGTTGTGGGGAGAGTCGAAGAGGACGCAATGATGCCGCTGTCTCCTCCCAGATGCTGTTGTTGTTGCTGCTGCTGCTGCTGTTGCTGTTGGTGCTGTTGCTGTTGTTGCTGCTGCTGCATGTCTTGTTGCTGCTGCTGCATGTCTTGTTGCTGCTGCTGCATGTCTTGTTGCTGCTGTTGCTGCTGCTGCGGTTGGTGTTGTTCTTGTTCTTGTTGTTGCTGCTGCTGCTGCTGGTGTTGCTGCTGCTGATGTTGCTGTTGTTGGTGGTGCTGCAGCAATATCTCCTGCTGCTGTTGCTGTTCCAGGCGCAGCTGCCCCAGCTGCTGCTGCTGCTGCTGTTGCTGCTGCTGCTGCATCCAGTTCTCGTGTTCAGCAACGAAGGAGACGTTTGCTGCTGCTTGCTGCTCAATAGATGCTGCGAGGAGACACGAAAGCCTATACTGTGTGTGTATTTGCTGCTGCAGCAGCATGGGTCTGTGTTGCTGCTGCGGCAGCAGCTGGAGCAGCAGCAAGTGTCTCTCCAATTCTTCACTCAGGAGACATAAATCATCAGTAGGGGCGTTGAACTGTCTGCAGTTGTGCAGCAGCAGCAGCAAATCTGCATGCATTGCTGCTTCTCTGCGGTAGAAGCCGTTCTGAAGCCTCCTTCGTATAGACGACAGAGACACACCCACAGCAACTTCTCTCCAGTAGTCAGACACCCACTCAGGAGGGCTGCTGCTGCTGCTGCTGCTGCTGCTGCTGCTGCTGCTAGTGCTGCTCCTGCCCCTGCCGCTGCTGCTGCTGCTGCTGCTGCTGCTGCTGCTGCTGGTTTCGGTCCACTCCGGGATGTCCTCTATGAAGGCCTGGTACCGCAAAGTTTTGCTGGTGCTGCTGCTGTTGCTGCTGCTGCTGCTATCTGCTGCAGCATCTGCTGGAGTAGCAATTAGTAGTTCGAGTTGTTGCAGCAACCACTTCTGTCTTTCAAGGGGGAACTCTTGCTGCTGCAGCTGCTGCTGCAGCTGCTGCTCTGCAGCATACAGGGGCCCCGCAGCAAAGTCTACCTCCCAGGGGCTCATCCATAGGGGGTCCCCTGAAGCCTCGGGGCCTCCCCCAGGGGGCCCCCCTCCCCCTTGGGGCCCCCCCCCTCTGGGGGCCCCCCTGGGGGCCCCCCTGGGGGCCCCCCTAGGGGCCTCCCTAGGAGCTTCCTTTTCTTTTAAGTATTGGATTTGTATCGATTCATACCCTAAGGAAGCGACATAACACCAAGCTGCTGCATCGCTAGCAGCAACGGAGGTGCCTGTAGATTCTCTTGCAGCCCTGTTCCTGCTGCTGCTGCTGCTGCTGCTGCTGCTGTTGCTGAGAGTGATGGTATCAGTAAGAAAGCGAGGATATGCATCAGACCCCACTAGGGCCCTTAACGAACTCGCAAGCGCAAGACGCCGAACCTCGAGGAGGCCCCTAGGGGCCCTGGGGCCCTCAGCAAGAAGCCACTGCTGCTGCTGCTGCTGCTGCTGCTGCTGGTGTTGGGGTGATTTTTGCTGCTCCTTTTCTGCAGCAGCAGCAGCAGCAAGCAATGCACGAGCTGTCTCTGTTGCTTCTGGTGCTGGGGGTCTAATTGAAAGGAGACAGGCAGGGAAGTAGCGGCCATCCATATACACCTGAATAAGAGGGAAACAAGACAAGTCTTGCTGCTGCTGCTGCTGCTGCTGCTGTTGCCTCCTGCTGCTGTATACTGAGCCTTCTCTGTCTTCAGGATGCAGCTTCTTTCCACGGCGTCTGGGTGTTCTTCTGGCGGCATCTTCGAGTTGCTGCTGCTGCTGTTGCTGCTGCTGCTGCAGCAGCAACTGTTGCTGCTGCTGCTGTTGTTTGATAAAGTGCTCCCTCTGCATGGTGAGCAGCTGCTGCTGCAGCAGCAGCAGCCTCAACAGGCCGCGCTGCAGGTCCAGCAGCAACACCAGAAAGTCTGCTGCCCCATCGGAAGAGGGATAGTAATGCAAACTAAATCTGTCTCCTGCTGCATGCGAAGGAGACAGCACCTCCAACTCAAGAGCTGCAGAAACCTGCAAAGGCTCCTCAGCCACTGGAAGCCCTGCAGCAGCAACAGCAGCAGCAGCAGCAGCAACAGCAGCAGCAGCAGCAGCAGCAAACGCAAACAAATAGCAGCAAACAAATAATAAGGGATGACGTAAGGAGACACCCAGTGCATGCAGACGGAGACAGAAAAAACAATTAAAATATTAAAATTATTTTATATATATATATATATATATGTATATATATATATATGTATATATATATATATATATATAAGCCTGGCAGTACAAACTGCATATTTATTACTCTACAATATCTATATAAACATCTACAAATAAATAAATATATAAATAATAAATAAATAATAAATAATAATAAATAATAATAAATAAATAACAAATAACTATAAATATATACCCATTAACATATACCTGGCAGTACAAACTGCAGATTAATAACAGCAGCACATCTATAAAAACACATAAATAAATAAATAAATAAATAATAAATAATAAATAAATAAATAAATAAATATAAACATAAATATAAATATATATAAATATACCTGGCAGTACAAACTGCAGATTAATAACAGCAGCATCGCACGGCGAAAATGTGTTGGGGGACCATAGCTGAATTTTGTCTTGCTGCAGCGCGGATTGCTGATGCAGCTGAGGAAAGTATCGGACAATGTCGCCGATTTGAGGTGTATACACCCCACTAGGGCTGCTGAAACAGCAAGGATAAGATAGAGCAGCTCCTCCTGATTCTAATGATACCCCTTCTCCTGTTGCTGCTGCTCCTGCTGCTCCTCCTGCTGCTCCTGCTGCTGCTGGTGCTGCTGCAGCGGCAGCGCTGCTGTCAGCTATTGCAGGCTTCTCCTCCTGAGAGGAACGCAGAAGAATGCGGAAACGGTTGTTAGACCCCGGTATGTTCCTGCTGCTGCTGCTGCTGCTGCTGCTGCTGCTACTGCTGCTGCTGCTGCTGCTGCTGTTGCTGCTGCAGCGGTGGTCGCCCTGCAGCCAGGAGCGAAGCGAAGCACTCCGTAAGACATCGCCAGAAAAATGAGGCGCCAGACTATCATCCGGCTTCCTTTGCCGCTGGCACCTGCAGCAGCAGCAGCAGCAGCAGCAACAGCAGCAGCAGGAAGAGATGAATCAGCAGCAGTACCAGATGCAGCAGTGGCATCTGCAGCAGCTGCAGTAGCAGCGCATTATTTCAGCACTCCAAATAAACAGCACATTTTGCTGCGCGTTTACTGGCGGGTGCTGCTGCTGCTGCTGCTGCAACAGCACCTGCAGCAGCAGCCGCAGCAGCACCAGCAGCATCTGCAGCAAAAGGAGCAGCAGCAGCAACTTACGAGAGGCACAAGAAACTACCAAAGTAGAGCGGGTCCGGGATGACGCCTTTTGATGCCCCTTGTGTTGCTGCTGGAGTTGCTGCTGCTGCTGCTGCTGCAAGGGGTGAGGCTGCATGCCTGCCATCTGCTGCTGCTGCTGCTGCTGCTGCTGCACCCGGAGCGAGATAAGACAAGGCGCAGCAAACATAATGAAAGAAATGCAGACACCCCACACCGCAGCACTCAACAGCAGCACCAACAGCACCGCAGAAGCTGCAGCGCCTCTTTAAAGCTGCTGTCGTTAGCTCCTGCAGCAGCAGCAACAGCAATAGCAAAAGCAGCAACAGTAACAGCAGCAGCAGAGGCAACGGGAGCAGCAATAGCAACAATAGCAGCAACAGCAAGAGCAGCAGCAGCAATAGCAAGAGCTGCAGCAGCAACAGCAAGAGCAGCAGCAGCAAGAGCAGCAGCAGCAGCAACAGCAGCAAGAACAGCAGCAGCAACAGCAACAGCAAAGACAAATAAACAAAGAAGCAAGAGCCCTACCTTAAGATTAAAGAATCCCCGAGAGAATCGGTCTGCATGCAGCCCCGTGATGCTCATCAGACACCGCACATGCAGCCAAAGGCTCCCGGCTCGGTGTTGCTGCTGCTGCTGCTGTTGCTGCTGGACCCCACTGCTGCTGCTGCTGCTACTACTACTGCTGCTACTGCTGCTGCTGCTGCTGCTGGTTTCATGTGCATACACCCTAAAGGGCCCCACAAGCTCTCCTAATTCTATTGAGCGACGCAGAGGAGGAGGCAGCAGCACAGAGCTGCTGCTGATTCTGCACAGTGCACAGCGATGAAGCTGTGAGCAAATTAAGCAGCCTCCTTCGGGTCTTTCAGTGCGCAGGGCCCCGCCTGCTGCTGCTGCTGCTGCTGCTGCTCCTGCTGCTGCACCTGCTGATGCTGCTGAGGAAGGAGACGAAGAAGAGATACCGATGCCTGGTGAAACGGAGACAGACAGCGCTCGCGGAGACTCCCTGTTGCTGCTGCTGCTGCTGCTGCTGCTGCTGCTGCTGGGAGCTGTTATCCATTCGTGCTGCTGCTTCAAAAGGGCCAGCAGCTGCTGCTGGGGCGTGAGTATCCCTGCGTTTGTTTGTTGCACTGCAGCAGCAGCAGAGGCAGCAGCAGCAGTAGCAGCTGCTGCTGCTGCTGCTGCAGCTTGCTGCTGCAGCAGCAGCAGATCCTTGACAGCCATAATGCTTCCAACAGGGAAGGGGGAGAGACCAGCACATCTGAGGTGTATGCATCGTTCATTTGCATCAATTCTTTGAGGGGGTAGGCGTTTGCTGTCTTCTGCTGCTGCTGCTGCTGCTGCGCGTCTGCGCAGCAGCAGCTGGTGCTGCCGGGCTAGCTTTAATTCATCTGGATCTACAAGACGCTGCAGCTCTCTTTTGCTGCTGTCGGAGACAGTGGGATCAGTAAGCAGCGCGAGAGCATTCACAGTTAAGCTTCCTGCAAGTCTGTTGCTGCGCCGCACTCTGCTGCTGCTGCTGCTGCTGCTGCTGCTGCGCTGCTCCCTTCTAGCAGGAGACCCCAAAGCATCACGCACCCTCCACCTGCGTTGGCGTCGTCCTGCTGCTGCTGCTGCTGACCCATATCGAGTGGAGACACCCCCACTAGAGTCGGTCTCGCTGCTGCTGCTGCTGCTGCTGCTGCTTGTGCTGCTGCTGCTGCTGCTGCTGCTGGATCTGCAGGAAGACGATGAAGAAGCAAGACGCATGCGTCGCTGTCTCCTCGGAGACAGAAACTCTCCGCCCCACTGACTGTCTCGAGGGTCTTCTTCGCTAGCAGAAGTTGCGGGGCTCTCAATTCGTTGAAATCTGCTGCTGCTGCTGCTGCTGCTGTGCGAGGGAGAGGAGCCGTCGCCTTCAGCTGCAGAAGGTCCCCCACGCAAGCGGCGCCCGGAGGATGCAGAGGATCGATTGCTGCGGCGGTTAGCAGCAGCAGCAGCAGCAGCTGCTGCTGCTGCTGCTGCTCGCTGCATGCGGCCTCTGCCTCTTGCTGCTGCTGCTGCTGCTGTATCGTCTTCATAGTCTGCTGCAGCGCGACCAAACGGAGACTGCTCAGCAGCAGTTCTTCTTGCATTACCCCTCAGAGTTGCAAAGCCTGCAACCCTCTGCTGCTGCTGCTGCTGCTGCTGCTGCTGCTGCAGGGGCTGCATGCGCCCCCACCCCATCTCTAAAGGAGATCTCATCAACAGGGGGGCCTCGCGAGAAGAGACAACAGCTCTCGCGTACTGACGAAGCACTTCAATGTTGCCGCTCGGTGTACACCGCTGTGCATCCCACAGCGCCCGCTGCACATACACCCCAGCAGCAGCAGCAAATGCAGCAGCAAATGCAGCAGCAGTTGTTGTTGTTGTTGTGAGAGTCGTGGAGGAGTTAGGGGAGCAGCAGCAGCAAAGAAACGAGGAGACAAGCTAAACAAAACCAGCAACACGAGTAAGTAGTTGCAGCAGCAGCAACACCAGCAGCAGCAGCAGCAGCAGCAACACCAACAGCAGCAGCAACACACCTGCTGCAGTCTGTGCATAAGGAGAATAGCATAGCGGCGGTGGGGCTCAGCGACAGCCACATCACCAAACCCTTCATAGAGAGACGTCCTGCTTCCTGCTGCTGCTGTTGCTGTTGTTGCTGTTGCTGCTGTTGCTGCTGCTGTACCCTGCTGCTCTGGGGCCCCCCGTATTGCTAGCAGCTGCTGGCGCTGCGCTGCAGCAGCAAGGGCTCTCAATCCCTGAGGCAAGGAGTCGATCCCGTCTTCTTGTATTGCTGAATCAGCAGCAGAATCAGAAGCAGCAGCAGCCCTTGCTGCTGCTGCTGCTGCTTCTGCTCGCTGCAGCAGCTGCTGCACAAGCAGCATGCGAAGAGACAGAGCATCAGCAGGCAAATGACTCCACAGCCGCCGCAGCCTCTCTGACGAAGCCCACCACATTTTGTTTATATCTTCTGCAAGACACAAACACAAAAGAATACTTTGCATGCAACCTCCTGCTGCTGCTTCTGCTTCTGCTGCTGCTGCTGCTGCTGCTGTTGCTGCTGCTGCTGATGATGCATGCATGCGTAGGTGCAGCACAGGATAGGAATGACGGCGCTGAGGTGTCTGTACACTGCAGCTTACCGAGCCTAGAGACTGAGAGCTTGGAATCCCTGCTGCTGCTGCTGCTGCTGCTGCTGCTGCTGCGTTGTGGGGCCTTGTCGCAGGGTGCCCCACATACGAAGCATTTGATGCATGCATCTGGTGGAGGGCAGCAGCGGCAAGGGAGCAGCCGCACATACATAGCTGTTCTTGCTCTATTACTACTACTACTACTACTGCTGCTGCTGCTGCTGCTGCAGCTGCTGCAGACCCCACAAAGGCGCTTCCAAGCAGCATAAAGCTCTGCGTTAGGACAGCCAAATGACAATGAAGAGACACAAGGAGGTGGGGGCTGCAAATGAAACGGGAAGCTTCGCCCGCCTGCATCAAGCAGCGATCCTCGAGGCAGCAGCGGCAGCACAACACCCGTCGCACTGTCTATTAAACCCCCTTGAGGTGTACAGACAGCTGATGTTAACTCAGTAGACAAAAACTGCTCTGGGAATGTTGCAGCTGACGCCTCCAATGATCCTGCATACAAACAGCAGCAGCAACAGCAGCAGCAGCAGCAGCAGCAGCAGCAAACGCTTCATATGAACTACTTATAGTAATCGTAATAATTAAATATAGGAGTAATAATAATAATAATAGAATAATAATAATAATTAGGTAAGTGATACAAATATATACTGCTGCTGCTGCTGGTGCTGCCGTAACAGCAGCAACAGCAGCAGCAGCAATGTCAGCGCATGCACCAACAGCCTAAGCAGCAGCAGCAGTAGTAACAGCAGCAACCAGATCACATGGAGCAGCAGCAGCAGCAGCTGGATAAACCGCAGCAGCAGCATGAGTATCAGCCGAATCCCCCGCAGCAGCAGCAGGAGCAGCAGCAGGAGCAGCAGCAGCAGCAGCAAGTGGAACCAACCGCATGCAAAGAGAGAGAAGCAGCCGAAGCGATGTGAAAGAGCAGCAGCAAACCCTGAAGGCGACCAGTCCCCCTCAAGCCAGCAGCACTGAATGCCTAGGCGAAGATGCCGCAGCACAGGTACCCCCACAGACACTGCAGCAGGGGCCCTGCTGCTGCTGCTGCTGCTGCTGTTGGTGGTGGTAGGGTCAGCAGCAGCAGCAGCAGCAGAAGCAGTAGCTGCTGCTGCTGCTGCTGCATCTGCAAGAGATAGCAAACAAACATCTCCTCCAAATGAAGCCGCCAGCAGCAGATGAGGAGACACAGGGTGTGCTCGCAGCAAGGAGACAGATCTGCTGAGCTTATCATGAAGAGCAGCAGCAACACGCTGCCCTGAAGAGACAGCAAAGATAGAGACACCGCAGTCTACGGGTAAACAAAACTCTGCTGGAGGAGGCGATCCCCGCGATGCCCCTCTAGGAGGTGCTGAAACTTTGTCGGCTACACAAAGTAAAGTATCATCAGCATTAAAGCAGACGCTGCAGACCCCGTACTCAAGCCCTGCTGCTGCTGCTGCTGCTGCTCCTGCTCCTGCTGCTGCTCCTGCTGCGGACGTGCCGCAGCCTCCGCCTGCTGCTCCTGCTGATGATGATGAAGAAGAATCTCCTGAACAGCAGCTAGCTCCTGTAGAGTCGCAGCAGCAACAGCAGCAGCAGCAACAGCTGTTGCTGCTGCTGCTGCTGCTGCTGTGGTTGTGCTGCGAACAGCAGCAAACCCCGGGGGTTCCCGCCCCAGAAGCAGCACCACCAGCAGCAGCAGAACCAGCAGCAGCAGCAGCAGGAAGACGAGTGCTGCTGCTGCTAACGCATGGGTCAGATGCTTCACTGTCTGTCTCTACAGAAGAGAGACACGAAGAAGAGAGACTGTCTCCTCTCCTCACAGTACCTGACAAATAAATAAAATAAATAAAATAAATAAAATAAAATAAAACAAAATAATAAATAATTAAATAGCTAAGATATACACACAAACAGAGACAAATCAAACAACAATAAATGCAGAGACAGCACAAAGAACAAACAAATAAATAAACAGAGACAGACAAAAGGACAAAACAAATAAACAAAGACAGCTGAGAAGAGGCATCGGAGAAATCAAAAAAATATCAAACACCGCTTCGTGCTGCTACAAAGACATCAAGACATATAATATAATATATATAAATATATATATTATATATACTATATAATAATATATATCTTATATTTTATTTGTCTGTTAGTTGATTAATTAATTAATTAATTAACAATTTATTTATTTATATAAATATATGTATATATATACATATATATATAGAGTGCATAGAGGGGGAGCAGCAGCACCTCTCTGTCTCCTCCTGCTGTCTCTGCTGCTGAAGCTGTTTCTTCTTGCGTTTGTCTTTGAATAAAACCCCTTCAGCATTCGTTCGCGAATTAAAGAGAGCAGCGCAACACGTCTTATATGATGTGCCTCTAGACGCCGAGGTGTAGAGGGTTGACCTGCTGCTGCTGCTGCTGCTGCTGCTGCTGATGCTGCTGATGATGATCCTGGTGCTGCTGAGGTCTCGCAGAATATAATATATATAATATATATAATATATATATATATTATATACTATATATATACTATATAATAATATATATCTTATATTTTATTTGTCTGTTAATTGATTAATTAATTAATTAATTAACAATTTATTTATTTATATAAATATATGTATATATATATATATAGAGTGCATAGAGGGGGAGCAGCAGCACCTCTCTGTCTCCTCCTGCTGTCTCTGCTGCTGAAGCTGTTTCTTCTTGCGTTTGTCTTTGAATAAAACCCCTTCAGCATTCGTTCGCGAATTAAAGAGAGCAGCGCAACACGTCTTATATGATGTGCCTCTAGACGCCGAGGTGTAGAGGGTTGACCTGCTGCTGCTGCTGCTGCTGCTGCTGCTGATGCTGCTGATGATGATCCTGGTGCTGCTGAGGTCTCGCAGAAAGGAGAAGGAGTAGGAGGAGAAGCAGCAGCAGCAGATGCTGCTGCTGTTCCTGCTGCTGCGGCGTCTGCCGATGCTTCTCTTGCTTCAGCCGCTGCTGCTGCTTCTGCTGCTGTAGCAGCAGCAGCAGCAGCAGACACACGCCACAGCAGCAACACCCCATCATCAGAAGCAGTAGCCAAGTCAAGCGAACTATTAGCAAAACAAACATCTGGAAAGGCGTCGTGATAAGCTGCACATACACCCCACAAACCCTAAACCCTAAACCCTAAACCCTAAACCCTAAACCCTTGGCTCAAGCATCGCTCATTCAACGCAAATCAATAGACGTGGCAGCCACAAACTGCAGCAGCAGCAGCAGCAGCAACAAAAACAGCAGCAGCAAGAGCAGCAGGTGCAGGTGCAGCAGCAGCAGCAGCAGCAAAGCAGCAGGAGACTAACCTGATAGATCAGCAAAGACCGGCAGCAGTTGGGGTGTCTGTACACCTCGAAGCCTAGCGACTTCTGCTGCTGAGGGAATGCAGAAAAGAAGGGTTTTGCTGCGCTGTTTGATTCGTCTCCTGTGTTGCTGCTGCTGCTGCTGCTGCAGTGAGTGTTGCTGTTGCTGATGCTGCTGCTGCTGCAGGTGAAAGGGAAGTGTGGGGTTGTGGGGTGTTGTGGGATCGATCCCGCCTCCTCCCTCCTCCCTGCGTAGACTGGTGCTGGAGAATCCCCCGGCCCCCCGTTGCTGCTGCTGCAGTTGCTGCTGCAGTTGCTGCTGCAGCTGCTGCTGCTGCTGCTGCTGTCTCCCTGTCTCTTCATCACTTGTCTCTTCTCCTGAGTCTTCATCTAAGCCCAGCGCTACCAGATGACCCCAAGGGAAGCCCCAGGGCGTCTGCATGCAAATCAAGATAAATAAATAAATATAAATAAATATAAATAAATATATTTATATTATATATATATTTATAAATGCATATTCTATATAATATCTGCATTTGCTGCATTTGCTGCGGCGTTTTTGAAGCTTCTTCATTTGCTGCTGCTGCACTTGCTGCTGCTTCCTTTTTGCTGCTGCTGCATCGTTTGTTGCTGCTGCATTTGCTGCTGCTGCATTTGCTGCTGCTGCGGCTTACCTTTGTGATATCGATAGCATGAGGAAAGAAGTCAGCGCCCCAGGGGTAGAGCTGCAGCGGGGAGACATGAAGGAGACCCCCAGGATTTGCTGCTGCAGCAATTAGTATTTGCTGCAGTGAGTAAACTCGAATGTCGCGATCGCAGCAAACTAGCAGCAGCTCTGCTGCTGCTGCTGCTGCCTCCTCTTCCTCCCGCTCTTTAGCTTCTGCTGCAGCTGCTGCTGCTGCTGCCGCTGCTGCTGCTGCTGCTGCTGCTGCCATAGACGCGTCCGCCCCTGCCCCTGCTGCTGCTGCTGCTTTTGCTGCAGCTTCTGCTGCTGCAGCTTTTGCTGCTGCTGCTCTCGCTGCACGGCCTGCTGTTGCTGCTGCTGTTGCTGTTGCTGCTGCAGCAGGAGAAGCAGCAGCAAGAAACTTAACAAGCGTTACTCTGCTCCCCGTGTCGATACACCCCACACTAAACCACCACGTAGGCAGCAGCCGCCAGAGGCGCACCTTGCCTGAAGAGCAGCAGCAACAATAATCAGCAGCAAAATCAATATATCTGCTGCTGCTCTTGTTGCTCTCTCTGCTGCAGCTGCTGCTGGTATGTGTGTAGCATCAACAGCAGAATCAGCAGCACCACCAGCAGCAGCAACCTGAGCAGCAGCAACATCAGCAGCATCATCAGCAGCAGCATCAGCATCAGCAGCAGGAAAGGTGTATGTTATATCTCACCGCTACCGCAGCAAGAAGCAAGTAGAGAGTCATTAGGGTGTACAGACAGGTCTGTTATATCTCCTTCGTGCTGCAGCAATGAATACAGCAGCTGCCCTGAGGCGAATTCCCAGACCTTTATCAGCCCCTCCATGCCTCCTGTCAGTACAACTGAGCCTGCAAGTTAAATAAATAAATATATATATAAATATATATATAAATATATAAATATATAAATAAATATATAAATAAATAAATGCGTTAATCTATATCTATCTATCTATCTATATTTAATTGTTATAATAAAAACAAATAAGAAATAATATAATAATAATTTATTTGTGTAATAATAAAATAATAAATAAATAAATAAATAAATAAATAAATAAATAAATAAATAAATAAATAAATAAATAAATAATAAAAACATCTGAAGGACTATAAATAATTTTATATTATGATGTAGAAATGTATATATAAATGCATGCATATAAATATATGTATATATATATATATATATATATATATTTGTTTATATTTATGTTTATATTTATAAATAATATTATTGTTTAAAACAAATAATATTACTTAATATGGGCAGTCTCTTAAAAAGGAGACAGCTATTTATAAAGGAGACAGTTAAATAAAAGGAGACAGTTAAATAAAAAGAGACAGTTAAATAAAAAGGAGAGAGTTATTTATAAAGGAGACAGTTATTTATAAAGGAGACAGCGATTTATAAAGGAGACAGTTATTTATAAAGGAGACAGTTATTTATAAAGGAGACAGTTACTTATAAAGGAGACAGTCATTTACAAAGGAGACAGCTGTACATAAAAGGAGACAGCTATCTACAAAGGAGACAGTTATTTACAAAGGAGACAGACAGTTATTTACCTGAGTGTATGAATCTGAGGAGAGAGACAGGCGAGGGGTCTCTGACGATGTGCTGCTGATGCGGGTTTCTGTTAATCAATTGAATCTCCTCTTCTAGCATTTGTTGATGACCCCACACATTAACTAGTCTTCTAAAGCGAGCAGCAGCAGCAAACCACAGCGACGGAGGCAGCGCAGCAGCAGCACAAGCAGCAGCAGCAGATAGCTCCGCCTCACCCCCTCGACCCCCTCCTGTTCCTGTTCCTGCTGCTGCTGCTGCTGCTGTTGTTGTTATTGAAGGCTTCCAGGAAGCAGCAGCAGCAGAGGGAGGAGCGATGCATGCAGCGTCTAAGCATCTGCTTCTAGCTCGCTCTGCTGCTGCTGCTGCTGCTGCTGCTGCTGCACCGCCTCCGCTGCTGTACATACACTCCAAATTTCGTCTCTTGTCTCGCAGCGCCAGCAGCAAATTGCGAGGTGCTGCAGCAGCAACTAATCTGCTGCTGCTGCCTGATACTGCTGCAGCACATAACCCCACCAACGACGGAGATCCTTCATCACCAGCAGCAGCAAACAAGCTGCTGCTGCTGCTGTGGCAGTGGCTGCGGCTGCTGTGGCTGCTGCTGCAGCCGCAGCAGCGCGTTCCAGCTGCAGCATGCATGCACCTATTGCTGCTGCTGCTGTTGTTATTTGTTTCTGCTGCAGCAGCTTCTTCTAGCTGCAGCAGCTGATGTCTCCGCTGCTTCAACATTCGCAGCAGCAAAGACCTGGGGGCCCTGGGGGTGGGTAAGAGTTGCTGCTGCAGCTGCAGCAAAGAAGGCGGGAAGGAGACACGTTGCGATGTCTCCTGCTGCAGCAGCACGAGCAGCTGCAGCAAGAAAGACTGCACGGGGGCCCAGCTCTCCTGCGGCACTCGCCAACCGCTGCTGCTGCTGCTGCTGCTGCTGCTGCTGCTGCAGTAAGGTAAGACAAGTGCATCACACGGGAACAAAGGTGTGGGGCCCTGCATGCTTCTAATACAGCTTGGTGCTGCTCCCTCTGCTATTAGATGTCGCTGAGCTTCTCTTGCTGCCTCAAGCAGCCTCTGCTGCTGCTGCTGCTGCTGCTGCTGCTGTCTCGAGTCAGCCACATGCCCCTGCTGCTGCTGTTGCTGCTGCTCGTGCTGCTCTAACCGACGGGCTTCTTCATAAAGAAAAGAAGCAAGCTGAAATATAAGGACGGATTGGGGCGTGACTTGCTGCTGCTGCTGCTGCTGCTGCTGCTGCAGTTGCTGCTGCTGCAGTATGCTCTGAAGGTGCTGCGATGTAGGACTGCCTGCAGCAGCAGCTGCTGCTGCTGCTGGGATGTGGGGCAGCATTGCGACTTGCTGCTGCAGCAGCAGCAGAGAAAACTCGCCTATATTTAGCTGTGCTGTATAACTTCAGGAGCTGCTGCTGCTGCTGCTGCTCCCGGAAGGACAAATAAAGCCTCTGCTGCAGCAAGAGGCTGTCTAAGCATCCGCGTGCTGCTGAGGTTGCTGCTGCTGCTGCTGCTGCTGCAGCGGCTGCTGTTGCAGCAGCTGCTGCCGCTGCAGTTGTTGTTACTGCTCACTCTGCTGCTGTTGCTCCCGTAGCTGCTGCTGCTGCTGTTGCTGCTGCTTCTGCTGCTGCTGCTGCTGTTGCTGTGAATGCAGCAGCAGGGGCCCTTCATTATCCTACCTCGGGGGCCCCTCAAGCCTAGGGGGCCCTCGCGTGTATCTGTTTTTGTTTGCTGCTGCAGCAGCAACAGCAGCAAGCAGAATAAAACGGGTAAAAGAATGCAGCAACAACCCCACAGAGGTCTAGGGTTTAGGGTTTAGGGTTTAGGGTTGTTTTGCTACCCTTCTCCCCCCAAGGAGCCTGGTGCTGCTGCTGCTGCTGCAACAGCAGCAGCAGCAGCAGCAAAGACAACAGCAGAGATGCTGCAGCAGCAAATACGCTGCAGCACGGCTGTGAGTATTTAAAAGAATGTAAAGAGTTCAGAAAAACTCAAGCAAATGATGGATACACCGCAGCAGCAACAGCAGCAACAGCAGCAACAGCAGCAGCTGCTGCCTTGAGAAGAAGCTGCAGCTTTGCTGCTGTAGAGTCTGTTCTGTTGTTTAATAAAGTGTAGCAATAAATAAATTAATATATTTAAACAAAAAGAGAAGTAAATTAAACAAGAAAAACACAAAGATTTACAATAACAAACTCAAGGGGCCCTGCTGCTGCAGCAGCGTTGCTGCTGGGGGCCCCCAGCAGCAAACAGCTCTACTCTTTTAAAATTAGTTTAATTTTCTTTGTATTTATTGATATATTTATTGATATATTTATTAATATATTTATTTATTTATATATTTATTCATTTGCTCGTTTCGGCGCCGCTTGCGTAGACACAGACTCCCTCCTACACTACCTTTACTCGCGACTGCAGCAACACCCTAAACCCTAAACCCTAAACCCTAAACCCTAAACCCTAAACCCTCAAAACATCAAAACATCAGTCTTAAACCCTCAACCCTAAAAACTTAAGCCTTAAAACCCTAAACACTAAACCCTCAAAGACTACACCCTAAAACCCTAAAACCCTAAACCCTAAACACTACCCCCCAGACAATGAACCCCAAACCCTAACGCCGGAGTCGTAAACCCTAAACCCTAAACCCTAAACCCTAAACCCTAAACCTTGTCTAATTGTTGGAGCCTGGAGGCAATAAGGCGAGCCCTACAACAAACATAAATCCTAAACCCTAAACCCTAAACCCTGCAAGACAGTCGCAGGAGTTTCTGTGGGGTGCAGCAAAGAGCTCTTCCTGCCCTAAACCCTAAACCCTAAACCCTAAACCCTTGCTGAGCTATGTTGGGAGCATATTGGCGTAGACAGAAAAGACAAAGACACAAGAGGCTGCAAATAAATAAATAAATAAATAAATAAATAATACTAGCAGAGGCAAACAAGAAACAGAGATCTTCCTACCTGAACTGCAGCACTGCTGCTGCACTTCCGCTTAGCTGCTGCTGCTGCAGTTGCAGCAGCAGCAAGCAGCGCAGCAACAGCAGCAAGTGCAGCAGCAGCAGCAAAATAAAGGGGTTTTATTAGCTAAGCATCAAGGGGTTTATTATAATTGATATATTCGCTGTAAATATAAACAAAAACAACAGAACATCCCTTCGTGGGTGCATGCATGCATGCATGCAATAATATGCATGCAATAATATGCATGCATGCATGCAAGCCCATATAAGCAGCAATATGCATGCATGCAGCAGTATGCATGCATGCAGCAATATGCATGCATGCAGCAATATGCATGCATGCAGCAATATGCATGCATGCAGTCCTGTGCAACAAGGTGCATGCATGCAATAATATGCATGCACGCATGCAGCAACATGCATGCATGCATGTTAATGCATGCATGCAACTATATATATCGATTTTGTTGCAGCACTTGAATTTGGGGCTGGCTTTATTAATACTATTATTAGCATTATTTTTACTACTACTACTACTAATAATAATAATATGAATATTATTATTCTTTATAATAATAATAATAATAACTATTATTATTATTATTATTATTATTAATTTGTATTTATTCTCTCCTCTTTACTATGATGTATTGTTATTACTATTATTATTATTATTACTATTATTTGTGTTTATTTATATTTATTGATGCTTATTAATGTTTATTGTTTAGTAATTCATATTAACATTTATTATTTATTGTTGTTTTACTATTATTTTTTATATATTTTTATTAATTATTATTAATTATTTATTATTAACTCTTACCGCTTCTCTCTCTTTAATAATATTTCTTTTTAATATAAATAATATTTTTATTGCTGTATATTTGATGTCTATTCTTTATTTATATCTGCGTTA